AGCAATGCTGAAGGAAGGGATGGACAGAACAGACAGAAAGAAGTAATGGGAGAAAAAGACTTTTACATTTTTCTAGTCAATACAAACAGTACATGCTATAACCACAGCCAGAATTAAGATCCTGCTGCCATAGGTCTGTACTGTGCTGGATTCCTAAGTAGCCTCCTTGAAGAAGTAAACATATCTCAATCTGAAGAATGTCTGGCATCTCCCTGCTTTGTCACGTTTTAGATTCTTGCATATGAACAAACTTCAGATGTTTTCTAGAGGCTATTTGGATGGCAAGTCACTGAAAGTATTTTCAGTTCTTAAAGATGCATCAAACAAAAAGGAACTGAATTTCACAGAAGAAAAGACAGTGAGCCAGCAGTTTTCAAACTTTGCAGTCTTACACATACATGAACATATTTGCTCACACATACACTAAATGACATTCCCAATTATGAAGAAAATTCCATTTGCTTACAATACTATTTAGTAGAAGACACAGGTGCAAAGCAGTATGGAATCTTCTTCCCCTCCTTCTTCCCCCAGAATATCAAGAAGCTGAGACTGGCATGAAGGTTCACACACCTCTTGATTGCTGTTCTCCATCTTTTTTCCTCCTTATTATCACAGAATCACAGAACAGCCCAGTTTGGAAGGGACTTTTAAAGAACAACTGGCCCAATCCTTTGTGGGAAAGGGAGCCTGGATGAGATTGTTGAGCATCCTGTCCAACCATAACTTGAAAACCTCCAGCACTGGGGATGCTACCACAGCCCTGGGGAGGTTGTTCCACTGAGGGATTGCTCTCACTGTAAAAACATTTCTTTTTATATTGAGATGAAACCTCTCCCTATCATGTACATTCAGCTGTACAGTGCTGCCTACACTGCTGGTCCAAATGCCTCACGTGTGGCTGAGTCAGAAAAAACACGGGAATAATCTCTGCTCAAATGGTACAAATTGGGGGAATGTCTTAAGATGCTCTTGCACTCCCACTGGTTTCCTCTCACAGAACCTATAGTGGTAGGAATAAACCCCAGCTTTCTGGGAGAGAGGCTGGAAGTCTCTCTTCTCCTTCTCTAATTAATATTTCTTCAGTTCTGTATAAGCATCAGGGTTTAGTAGGCAAGGAAATGTAAAAAAAAAAATATAAGATCGGTCCAAGATACAATGGATGACCTTTCCCCTTGAGATATTAAAATATTGAAAAAGAAATTAGTACTATTATATACCAGCCACTTCACAACTGTAAAATTATTTCACACTGTAAGTATTATTTTCCTTGTACACCTAGTAAATTGAATCTCAAAGAGAAATTCCACAATAAGGTTGCCTTAAAAACAAACAGATAATATATATAATTTTTCATGCACTGTTGCTAGTTTTTACATCATAAATGCACAAGATCAAAACAGAAAAATTATATTTAATTCTTGTCTACCAAACCTTGTAAGCAACCTCCTTTCTTTTCAACAAAGCACAATCAAAGCTTCCACTCACTGCAGAAAGGTTTTGAAGAGACAAACTGTACATTTTGTTTGCCTCTAAACTTGCAAGTTTTCCCTGTGCTCTTTTGATGAAATGCTATTATGCCTTTAACCTTAGGGCATCATATCTCATCCTCCTGTTGTGTGGCCTGCAGGCCAGGAGTGAGCAAGGGAAGCTTACTAACATCAAACCCTGGGAGCACAGACAAGCAAAGGAACATGACAAACAGTTCTTCCAACATCCGAAAATCAAATTCTCATCTCAGTATGCCTCTTCCCCTTGAAGCTCATGTTTGCACTTTTGCCTTAGGAATTGTGATTTGATACCCATTATGAAACTGTCTCCAGTTTACCTGTCTCTATCAATTCTGTTAAAGTGAACACCAGCGTTGCATCAGTCCTACTGTAGTTATTAGAGTTGATATAAAGATATCAAAACTTAATAAGTCAAGGAAGTGAACTTTTTTTCTTCCAGACAACACAGATATTTGCTTTCACTTGTCAACTGAAAATGCTGGTTTCTGTCAAAGATTCATCAGTTTGTATATGGCTGGATACAGTTGCTAAATACTGATCTAAGATTTCTTTCATATGTTTCTTTCAAAACCAGTAACACCAAATTTTATGTTCTGTGGGGGAGAAGAATCAAGAGAAGAAGAACCTGCACCTATTTAATCCTGTACATCTTCTTCAATACAAGAGTTATTATAATACCACAGACCTTCAACAGAGAGAGAGAGGGGTGAGAATATGTAAAAAGGGGACCTTTCCTGAAGACTCACTTTAGCCTAAGGCCATTTGTCTCCCCCAGTCTTGGTTGGTTGGCTTGTGGGGTATTTTTGTTTGTTTGTTTTTGAATCAACTTAAGTTCTTGTCCTAAAATCAGGAACTTAATTTAGGCTCTCTGAATTGCATTCTGGAGGAACCTCTCTCTTCTCAGACGACAACAGGGAAGCCCAGGGAGACAAACTTCATTAGGCTAAAATGAACCTTTTTTATATAACCCCCTTTTCCTGAAGTGACTTCAGATTACCTTCCAAAGAAATTGCCTGGGGCAGGGGAAGGAACAGTGAGCTAAGGAGAGACAGCCTCCATCCTTCTCTTAATTCTTAATTATATTGGCCAAGAAATTAAATTCTTAAGAATTAAAATCTTAATTCTCTTTATTAGTCCAAATCCCAGGCTGCAGACGTTAGGAAACCATCTTCCCAGTAGTTTTGTTTTGCCTCACAGATTGCAAGAAATAAGAAAGGTAGAACTTAGAACTAGAGTCACTAGATTTTCTATAAACATTTAGTGTATGTTCCACTAATCTTTTTTCTTGCATCCTTCCTTTATTTCTTCTTTATAATACCTAATAACTGACTACAAACAAGTAACAATTGCCAAGCTAGCTTGACAAACAAGATATATAATGTCTTAATCTATGCAAAAACTAAGTCCAATCTATCTAAAGATAAATTAATACCAATGGTAGTGTTTGATCTGTGCAAATAAAGTGATGTCAAATTGTGTTGAACACGTTTCTAAGGCATGTAAAGATTTTTTTTCCAACACAAACTTTTTTGTTGTTGTTAATGTTTCTTAGTTAGAACAATGTTTATTTGATTTTCCATGGAGCTTAAAGACAACCTACAAATTCATTTTCTAAGTGTTCCCTCCAAGTGTTATGTTTTTAACCTTCTTGGACAAAAAAAAAAAAGTATATTTTTACAGAACAAAGAGGATAAAGTTACTAACTGAACATGGCATTTTTTTGTGTTTTTGTTAAAGGAAATATTTAAATTTAATCTCAGAGCCAGATGTGATTTTTTTTTCTGAAATTCTCATTATCCAGTTATTTCAGAAATTATTTTCTGAAGAAACAATGGAATCTAGAAGATAAACAAACATGGCATCTACAATATTTTCCATAACAATTTACTTGCCAACCTGAGTGAATGGCATTGCACTTTTCTATCACATGCCCGAAAGAAAAGAGCACTTCAATTCTAAATGGATGCTGAGTGTGCTTTTGAGCTAAGTTGAAGCAAAAAGCAAATTTCAATCATACAGCTTGTTTTAATTGCAACCAGTACCTTAACTGAACATACTGCAGAGCTTCATGAATATTCAGCAATAGAGTAACCAAATACACAACATTAGTGCTTTTGGTATTAAAAAAAAGTTTCATTTTCTTCCTCAGTTTTTGAAGCAGAGGGGAGTAATGGAATTTTATTCAGTTTACTTATTGGGTTCATACTCTCTTCATACTCTCCCTTGTATTTCTTCAACTACACCAAGCCATAAGTCAGGCATTAGTAAGTCATGTAACTTTTCCAATCAATTTACTCTGTAGAAACAAGCAGAAGTTACTTGGTCAATTGAGTTTCACAAAGCTCCCCAGATGTAATCCTTACTATGACAGGTTAATATTCCTGAGGAAGGTCTGAATATTGAAAACATGCTGAATATGCTTTACATTGGTGCATTACTCAATCCTTATAACTGACCAGAACACTGAAATTTCACCCATTGAAATCATTATTTCACAGCATAAATGCAGCAGAAAATTATGTGTTTAAGAAAGTGAGGGATAAAACAGTTCACTTCTGAACTATTCAAGAGATGTGGTTCTTCTCTGTATATTTTCACTGTATAACGACACACTTTTCACTGTACCCTACAAATACTTTTTGGAAAGATGATTTTTTTCCCCCCCCATTTTGTTTGCTTTTCAAAAGACCTATTTAAGAATCTCAGAACATTCAAAACACTATCAACATAATTCTTCAGCCTTTTCAAATAAACACTTGCTACCAGGGCAGAGATTCACCACTGTGAAGAAGAAATGATCATTCCCCAAGTCACCAGGGTGAAATTGGCCCCTGGCTCTTCCTTCCTCACACCTGAACTGTTTGTCACACATTGCTGTTGTGTCCTTCTGCTTCAGGCTGGGTTCAAATTATTACATTCATTTTGTTGTTTAATAGGGCCTGTCTCATCTTGTGCACTTCTGAACTAAACCTCACTTCTGTCACATCCCCAAACCACATTTCACTTTCAGTCCCCAAGAACGCACAGTTACAGTCTGAATTTTATGACATGACTTGAATATCCTGAACATCCATCCAGGCAGAGCATTCAATTCAGAGGAATTATGTTTGAGAGTTATGGACAAAAATATAGCTTTTGGATATTACTTAGACAATCCAGCAATGATTTTTATCTTCTAAAAATACTTTCTTTGTGTTCCATATATTCTCATCTGTAACTTTTATACTAATTTTTAAGGAACAATTTAATTAAAATTCGTTTATGAAGCTGCATTTAATTTAAAAACTAGCAAATGGCCAACATATATGTTAATCAACAAAAAAAATTACTGAAATATGTTGAAAATTGTCAGAATAACAAGTGACCTATGCAAGTCTTGTATGTACAAGACTCCTATTAACTGCACTGGATGAGACACAAACGAGAAATCAGCCCAACTGTTTCAAATAACACAAGTAAAATTGAAAATGCAACCAGAAAGCTTCTTACCTATCAGAGGAATTGAAGGTCAGGAACTCTCAAGGTCAGCATACTGCCCTGCAGCACAGGTGAGGAAAGGATAATGAATATTCAGCAATCTGATGGCTGGAATGCTTTAGGCAGGAGCTTCCTGTTTTTAAGCATAAGAAACAAATTTAATGTTATCTAGACAGAAAAGGGGTTTTTTTTTTGTTTGTTCAAGCAAAACAAACAAGTCCTCCCAAACAGATGATCAACCAAAGAAAGAAAACAGGATGTTACCACAGGTTAATTTCTTTCAAATAATCGGAGAGCAGCTGATCAGTGACTAACCAAAATAAAGTAAGCAGTCAGTTTGCTTAGCAGCAAATGAGATATCATTCTGCCATTTTTTACTGAGCCTCAGCTGCCTCCTTCAAATGACCAGAAAGCAGATAAGGGCCAGTGTCTCTGGGTATTACTTTATTCTCCCTGGCTTAGATTCAAAACATCTGTTGCATAAGGAAAGTCTAATTGGAATGGCTGCCCCTACCCGGATGGCTGACATTTACTTGCCATGGGAAGAACCTGTCCACTACCAGCGTTCCCATGAACCTGACTGACATGCCTGAAGAGCTGACTGAGCAGAGTCTATAGACTGTTCCCAAAGATTGCAGCAACCTCAGAGCTTTTCCTTTGAGGCATTGCAGCCTCAATGGAAAAATCTGCAAAACAGAGGAGGGCCTGTGTTACAATCTAACAGTGCTCTGCACTGCTTCGGAAAGAAGACAAACATATGGGCTGCCACCAACTATTAGAAGTTGGTGTGAAATCACAGGAGAATTATCAGTCTGTAGCTTTCACGATCTGTTTCACAGACATTTACAAAAATTTTCCAAAATAAACTTTAGCTATCAGTGCAAAAAAAGACGGTTTTGTAACATCATTAAGAAACGAGTCGTTTCTAAGCAGCTGAGCTATCAAAACCTGTTCTTCAGGTATTGTATTTTAACGATTTTGTATCTTATCTCTCTCATAACAAGCTCACTTGTCTCCTCATCTCCTGCCAATCTCGAGGGCCAAGGGACAGCATTTGCTGTGCCTGGTTTTAAGCTTCACACGTGCCCGCTTGCCAGCTGGCAGAGCAAACAGGATCCACGGTGATTTCAGCTCACAGGGGAGCCTTTCCCCTCAGCAGCTCTAAGCTGGGTCTCTCCTCTTACCACACCACTGATTTTCACTTGGAGGAACGTAATTCTTCTGCAGTCCTCTCTTGACAAATTCAACAAGTTGGACAAGTTCAAAGGGTACTCAGAGGGAATGAAGGGAGGGCAGGGAAGAAGGGGGAAGGATAGTTGGCTGACCACCAGAATAACAGCACAGTTTCTATTCCAAGGAAAACAATACCAAAAATAGATTTTGGAAAGAATAAAATGCATAGCTAACACTCAAAGAGGCCTAGTGGACCATATATAATGTGAAGTGTGTCTCTAACCAACAGCCATATAATACTTCTTTCCTTGGCAAAAGCTTAGGTAGCCTTGTTGTCTGTTCAGGTCTCCCTCTTTCCCCCTGCTCTGCAATAAGCTGGTGAGCAGTTCCAGGCAAAGCTGCTGCAGGGACTGGCAGTATCAAGCAATTTGCATTTCCATGGCAGAAGCAAGTTCAGATGTACAGTGTCCAAAAGAGAGACTACACAGAATAGCTTTTAAATACAAAACAAACCGATGTCATCAGTTGTGGTGAGGGTGCTATAGACACAGATCTGAGGAAAATCAGGTTTCTGTGTTTGAAGTATTTGGCAGTTTCGTGAAAAATAAAAGCTACAGTTTCTAAGTTTCACACATCTCCTCCTCTGTTGTCTTCTCCCTCTCCCCAACTGGGTAATTCATATAACCACATATTCTCAACAGTAAAAGCTACCATATTGTAAATGAAGCACAGATGTGCTGATTTTAAAGGCACATTATAATTTGCCACAGAAGCATCTCCCAATCTTGACATAAAAAGATAACTTTGGGAATTTTAAGAACAGTTTAATAATTAAACAGGTATTAATAAATATTTATGGATCCAGTGTTCAGACTCTCCTATTAAATGTGTTAAAAAACCCCCCCAACAACCAACAAACCAAACCCACAATCAATGCTGTTGACATTTTTGTTTAAGAATAAACCCTTTTGAAAGGTGATTGTCCAGTTCTCTGTGCAGAACAGCTGAGAAGGAAAGTAAACAAAGAATCCCCATAGAGGTTGAGAAAGACACATCCTTCCACACTCCTGGAAGTTTGTGCACCTGTAAAGCTACAAAATGTCCCACAAAATTGAAATACTCCAATTAAATCCCAAAGATACTCAAAATTCATTACAGAAAAATACTGTATTGAAATTGCAAATACAAGCTAGTGGAAATGAGAGGGGTGCAACTATCCATATAACATTGTAACTCTTATTTTGAGAAAACCTATAATCCTAGTACATGGTAGTAGTTTATTCAGACTTTTTACAAAAATAAAACAGGCCAAATGTACTTAGAAGTACTGGAGAATTTAAGTGTACCCTCAACCTATACTATAGTGTGTCTAAGAATCACTTTATCTATATGTTTACTAGCATAAACACCCTTGAACAAGCATATTAATCAATAGATAACAAATGAAACAAACATTAAAAATATGTATTTCTACCACTGCTGCATTCTTGCTATCAGACCTCTCAACTGGACTTCAAAGCATATGTTAAGGAAACCACTTTAAATAATTATGGGACTGTTGTGGATCACCATAATCAAACTGACCAACACACTGTTCTGCAATTCGAGCCAATTTCGAGGATTCTTCAAGCAAATTGGAATAAAGAGAACCAAACAGTTCTATTGCTTTCAAACAAGATTCCAGTTTTTCCAAGTCTTTTCCCCAACATTACTCAGTAGAAGAGAGAACAAGGCATAGAAATGTCTGAAGGAACCATTCAATTCCATAACTGAACTCGCAGCTGCCAGAATAACATGCCTTCCTCTATTGAAAATGCCTTGTGAAGGAAGTTGAATTTCCTGCTCTCTTCAAGAAGCAACTGAATGTTCAAGGCTTTGAGCCCCAGAGAGATGCTAAGGATTCCATTAGCTACTATATAATTTCTTTTCTTTTTGATAGCAGGGTTCCCATAACTGCCTCAGGAACAAGGGCTTTCCACACTGACTATTGTAAGGTTACAGGGAGGTGCACTCTGTATTCTGATTTTCACATGATATCATGAGACTGAAGGAATTTAGAGAAAGGTCAACATTTTCAGCAGCTTGTCTTGCAGAGAAATGGGAACTTGGTCAAGATATTGAACTCTGTCACACAAGTCATGAAGAAGCAACTGAATTAAGCAGGGATCCAACTGTCCCATTTGACACAGCTACTTTGGGATTTATACAATTAGGCCACATTTTGCTCACACGTGACAGCGAAGGGCACCTGGAACTATGGGGCAACTCTGCCCTCTAATACACTGAGCATCTCTGTCACATTCCCAGTCCCACAATCTCCCTGTCCAGGAAAGGGCTGGTAATGCACTGTGGCAATTCGTCCATAATTTTTGATATTTTTATTGCTATAGCAACTGAGTGTAGGCATTTAAACATAGCAACAGCCTTTTTATAGCACTTTCTTGGATGTCAAAATGGCACGTTGTTTTATTTTCCAAGCAGATGCTCAGAAGATAAGCACACAGGATGATTGTACAATACCCACCTTCAAAAGAAAGAACTTCACAATTTCTGAATCATACAAGCAGATAAGTGAGAGGCATATTGTGAGTTTCAAGGATTTTGTTGTGAGTTTAAAGGACTTAGTTCTGAGAAAGCATATTACTAATACCTGAGGACAAGATTAGGTGAAAAACTTGGTGGATCTGTGCCCATTTTGTAAAAAGCTGTATAACAAATCAAGCAGGTCCTGCTCTGAAGTGGAAAATGTTCCATCAACTCTGATCTTTACCTGTTAAGCAAAAGAAAAAAGGGAAATTGTTTTCCTACTAAGTGGAGCCAGATTCTCAGGAGGGATCAAAATCCCTTGAAACAGATCCTTAGTTCATGCACGTGGGCAAAGCTCCACAGCAAACACAGCAACAGCGATTTACAAGCGAGAGTTTGGCCTGCTATGTGGTTTAAGGAAATACAATTCAGCATTTGCATGCTAAGACTCACAGAATCAGAGAATTCTTAGGGTTGGAAGGGACCTCTGGAGCTTATCAACCCCCTGCCAAGGCAGGATCACCTGGGGCAGGTGACACAGGAATACGACCACATGGGTTTTGAATGTCTCCAGAGAGGAAGACTCTCCCTGGGCGGCCTGTTCCAGTGCTCTGCCACCCTCAATGGAAAGGAGCTCTGCCTCATGTTGAGGTGAAACTTCTTGTGTTTTAGTTTATAGCCATTTCTCCTTGTCCTGTCACTGGGCATCACTGAAAGGAGTCTGGCACCATCCTCCTGGCACCCCTTTGAGATATTTATATGCATTAAGGAGATCCCCTCTCAGTCTTCTCTTCTCTAGGCTAAACAGGCCCAGCTCCCACAGTCTTTCCTCATAGGAGAGGTGCTCCAGACCCCTCATCATCTCTGTGGCCTCCCCTGGACCCTCTCCAGAAGCTTCTTGTCTTTCTTGTACTGAGGAGCCCAGAACTGGACACAGCATTCCAGATGTGGCCAAGTAGAAGGGGAGTATCACCTCCTTTGACCTGACTCTTGCCAATTAACCCCAGGCTACTTTTCTCTTGTATGATATTTTTTCTCTGGGGCCTTTAAATTCTGTATAATTTCTACAAGCAATCAGTAAAAAAACCCACCACTTGGTAAAATTCCTGAACAAATTATTAGACAGGAAAATTCCAAACAGCAACAGGACAGATCTCCTGGGGGATCTTTAGGTATTATTCACCTTTCTGTTACAATTATATGTCAGCTTTGTATAAAGTGAGATGATTGATATCTACCATTTTACCAAGAAAAACATTTAAAATCTGCTAAACAGGAAATGTTAAAGACTTTTAAAAAAATGAATCTAACAGAAAATGTCAAAAGTTTCTCACACAAGTACCAAGTTTTTAATATTCCAGTGACTCTATTCCATTAGTACACAATATATGAACTTTGGAATGGATATTTTAATGTTGTGCTTTATGCAGGAGA